TAGAGATTACATGGTTTTGTTCATCAGATTGCTGCTATCAGAGACTGTTTTAGAGCAGGGGGTTCTATTTTCTCAAATGCCTGCTCAGAAGTAGTATACCATTAAGGCAGGAATGGGACCTGCATGCAAACTGTATTGGAGACACTGTAACTTCAGATGGTAACCAGAACAAAATGAATAGTAGAGCTGGATGTGAAACAGTTTTCCCGTCCAATGAACATTTTTGAGGTTTCAACATTTTTTCCTGTCCCAAATCAGGAAAAAAAAGTCAAGATCTCAACAATTTTCATGAGTTGAAAATCCAAAACAAAAAACAAAAAATCATTTTGGGTCAATGAAAATGTTTTGTTTTGATTTTGACCAGTTTAAGAACAAATTATTTTTCTATAATTAGCTAAAATTTCCAAATAAAAAATTGTTGTGAACTGGAAAACTGGAATTTGTTTTGAAAACATCAAACCAAAATGTTTTCACAATTTCAATTTTTTTTGGAGTCAAGAAGTTTGTTGCCCCCCGACCCTTTCCCATGAAGTTTTGACGAACCAGCATTTAAAAAGTTTCACTGAAAAATTCCTGAACCATGTCCTGCAGTCCTTATTGCAGCATTTTCTGCATCTTCTTTGCTCTTCATTCCACAATCCAGTGTTTTCAATACTCAGCCAGGTTTGCCGCTGCTGATTATGTAAACCAAGCAAGGTCTAATTATGAAGGACCTGGAAGTCCATGGAAGTTTTACCGCCATTTTCAATGGAAGTAGGCTCTCAGTCCCCTATGAACAGTGCAAAGTAATTACTGTTTTTCAGGTGTGCAGGTACTACAGTGGGGGGGCCTGTTTCAGTTCGAGTGACGTATACATATTTATCAGCGTCTCAGGTTTGCAAGCAAACAGACTAAAACTCTGTTGCTTAGGGATGGGGTGTGTTGACTGGTACGGGAACAGTGAAACTGAAGAACCAATCTGGACCAGCTTCTATCTTTGAAAACTATCATGACCAGGGAGAGCCCACCCACACACAGACAACCAAGGACTCAGCCACACACCTCAAAATGGAGTGATATGCCCACTCCCCACAGCTGGGCACTGTGGCTGTGCCTTGCTTCCAGCCAGATGGGAGAGGGAGGAAAGATCTGCAGGGTGCCCCCTACTGACACCGATGTTGGCACTGCTCCACGAAGCAGCCAGCAGAAAGACCCCTGTGGAACAAACCGACTTCCCCTCCCCTCCTGCTGTTCATGCACACCCCAGTGGGACCAGCACAGTACCTGTTTTGAACCAGCCATCGGATGTGAAAGCTTCTTTTGTTTCTTCAGGTCTATTCCAGTATTCTCGAAATACTGTCGGCCCCTTAACGAAAAGCTCACCTTCTTTGCCATCTAAGCCGGGGGTCACCTAGAGCAAATGGGGAACAAAGCAGTGACCAATCTTCATACGTCAATAGTGATAGCCACCTCAGATTTCTACCCCTAAGCTACAGCTTCCTAAGCAACAAGGCTCAGAGAGGCAGGGAGTGCCTTTGGAACTCCCTTTGATTGTGAGCCAGGATGTATCTCTTGCTTTAATTGAGGCTTTGGCTACACTGGCGCTGTACAGCGCTGCAACTTGCTGCACTCAGGGGTGTGAAAAAACACCCCCCTGAGCGCAGCGAGTGCAGCGCTGGAAAGCGCCAGTGTAATCAGTGCCTGCAGCGCTGCACACTCGCCCGCAGCGCTGCGCGCTACTCCCCTCGGAGAGGTGGACTACATACAGCGCTGCGAGAGCTCTCTTGCAGCGCTGGCGGTGTGACTACACTGCCACTCCGCGGCAGCGCTGTGAAGTCCCGAGTGTAGCCAAGCCCTGAGAAGCAGAGAGGGGACAAAGTTCTAAGCTTATGTAAGCACCTCCTAGCTCAGACAGGATTGATGTTTATACCTAGTTTACACATGAATTGCCATACTGAAACCCCTCATCTAGCTAGTTTGGTACCTGAACCCTGACAGCAGCCAATGGGAGCTTCTTCCAAAACCAGGGAGACACCTCCTTAATGCATCTGGCCAATTGTGAAACACCATCTCAGCAGGGAAATGACTTCCTGATGGAGATGACCTTACTTTCTGATGCAGAAAGGCTGATGACCTTTGCATTTTTTACCATACCTAGATTCATAGGTTCAAGGGCCATACGGGACCACTGTGACCACGTAGTTTAAAGCAATTATTATTCTGTTAAGGTCCTTTCTTTTTTATTTTTTATTCTTGTTAAATTATTTGCCTCAATAATATACTGCAGCAGCCAGTTTCATGGGTTAATTATGCTATAAACTGAATTAAAAATAGTGATTCCTCTTAGGTGTTTTACTTTTGCTACTCAGAAAGCTCAGGTCCCTGCTTTTCACCCAGCAATACGGCTGAGGTGACTGCATCACACAGATGCCAAATGTCTGAGAAGGGATAAGAATTTACGAGCCTAACTCCTCACCACTAGCCCCACATTCCCATCCTCCAACCCGAACAAACAGCGTCTGACATGGATTAACTGTCTGCTCCACTACTGTGATGATTTCTAGGTTCAGAGACGTGACTGGAAGATGGATTCCCTGTTCTGCTCTGACATACAGAGCTACATGGAAACATAAATACAGGAGGGATGAAGAGTTACTTCAGGAGGTGGCAAAAGTTATTCACAGTTCTCAGACTTTGTAAATCAAAATGCCAAATCTAAAGGTAACCCTCTCTCCTGGAAGAGAGGTTCATATACACCTATTATAGATTTGTTCTCCTTAACCATCCCCCAAGGACGAAAAGTGCTTACCGCACTTTCAGTAGTAGGATTCTTTCCCTGTTGGAGACTGTCTGTATCTCTCTGGGCCAGCTGAGCTTGGTCCTCAATTCTCCAGCAGAGAGCAAGCTCCTTTTGCTTGACAAGCATTTTTCCTGTGGTGCCTCTCACCTAGCATCACGGGCTGTCTCCTACACCATGACATCAGTTGTGTCTTCTAACTTCTTGTGACCTGTGTTCATAGATTTCTTTTTATCAAATGGTGCATCTGAAATGCCCGGCCCGGGCATTCAGCAGTGTGAATGGTGTCTCTGTGACATCATTTGAGGAGCCCATCGAAAGTGAGCATGACAGCGTCTCCCCATCAGTGTGCTGCACAGCTGATCCAGGTACGCGGAGAAGGCTGTTTATTGAGTATGAATGTGGGGGTGGGGGACAGGGAGGTTCCTTGGCAATAAGAAAAGGCTCTTGCGGCTTGTGTCACATTTCCTGCCAGGGCAGGTGTCATGCACTGCTCTCGAGCCACCCTTTCCCATGTCTCCAAGATCACCATGGGTGTGCACTGCCGAGACTCACACCCAGCCTTCCTGAGTTGGCAAGGCAGTTCCTGTCTCGTACGGAGCCTTTGATGGGGTGAAATGAAGATGACGAGAGAAGATAGCCTGAATTGGCCATTAGAGAGCTGTTGCCGACCAGTCTGTGTGTCTAGCAGTGACAGCGGCCAGCTTAGCCAGGATAATTTTGTGGGTTGGACGACGGCTCAGCCTTTGAAACGACAGCTGCAGAGGACACCAGATGCCAGCTGTGCCACTTGGCACTTCCAGCAACCTGTCACCTGGCATGGGAAAAAAGTGAACTCCTGCCCTCCTGGGGAAGGCAGCAGAAGCTTCTCTTTCGACCTATCACGGGATGCTTGGCCATGTCCTCCAAAAGACGGTAACCCTGGTATAATTAAGGTAATGCCAGATCCAGAGAAATATACTCTGGGAGCACCCTGCAGAATACACAGTTTAATACGTCGGGTCAGAGCTGCTGACAGACCTGTGCGCTGGGAGAAAATAAAGCAAGACCAAAACCTACGCTTTTCTGGTAACCGGCCAGGGGGTCTTCAGTCTCTAGGTCACTTACTCAACCTTAGCCTGGATTACCAGAGACAAAAAGGCATTACCATCTGACAGCTGCTCGGTGAATGAGTTGATGGGTTTGATTTTAGTGTCCACAGCACGAGCACCTCTATCACCACTGGCAGTGCTCTGTATCCAATTTTTTTTTAGAGAGGCCAGGAATGGAAACTACTCCGCCACACTCCATTGGGGTCCCGCCAGGCTAGGTCTGAAACACATTATTGGATGAGGGAAGGTAGCATGGGGGAAGCTTGCCCTGCTGCCTGCTGTGTGGATAATTAGAAGGCTTCACTTTGCAGAGCTGTCAGGGCAACACCTTTCATTTTTTGAAAAGGGACATGAGACAATGAAACCCGATATATTCTAGAGAGTGGCAGGTGTCCTTTCAGCTTCTGTCGAATGCCAGGCTACAGAGACACCTCAGCGTTCTGCAAACCTGCATCAGCGACGAATGGAACATGACGATCCCATGAATCTGAAGACTCACAGGAAGTTCACCAGACAAGATTGGACTAGTCTGAGCTAGAATGGTAACTCATCTGTCCCTAAAATGTATATAGCTTTATGGTTGTGAGGATGCAGATGCATAAGAGACAAAAAGTGCAGTGACAGAGGTTGTTGTGGGTTCTGCTCATATACAGTCTACTCCTGAGGACCCTCAACATGAATATCCATAAAGGAAGTTTTTCAAATCACTTAGTTACTGTAGCTCTTGCAACACAGACAAGATACTGAAGTCAGTTCTCGCCGGTGGGTCTGCTCTGATACACCCAGGGCCCTGCCTTATGGTGAATCCGTGGCTGTGGCTCCAACAGTGTTGGGGCTTTCTGGGCATTGTGTCCAAAGAAATGAAATAAAGTGTGAAACACGTAGCGCGTCAGGCTTAGCATCTCCACAATACTGTCAAATGGTAACAAAGGTTCTCTACTGCAAAATGCCGGAAAGACCTTTTCTTAACCATGTTCGGTAACTCATTTCCCTAGGAAAGCCCAGCTTAGATGCCATGTGCAGTTTTACAAGGAGGTCTCTCTTCCCTCCATTTTCCTGCTGGTATAGCTGTGGCATCAGACAACAAAGCAAGTTATTCAAAGTGATTCGGTGACTCAGCCCAGAGTAGAGCCCCAGGCTCTAACCACTGGATAACACAGCTTCCTACGAATGATGCCAAAGAAGCGCCACTTTGGCTTTAAAAATAAACATTTCTCAATACACATGCTCCAATAAAACCAGTCTGAGTTTCCACTGGATCTAAGCACTCAAAGCTACAACTCAGCTAAAAATCAAAAAGACAGAATATATATTATTCCCCACATACATGCATTTAATTAATGGTCTGAGCCCCCGAAGTCAAGTCCTTCAGCTGAAAGGTTACCCCTCAGTTCCAGAAAGATGGATACAGGAGTCACTGAAAATGACTTTTGAACTCACTAGTAGCTGCATTTGGTTCTTCTGCTGCTCCTACTTGATTTGATGTTTTCTTTTCTTAGATGTTGAAACAAAGACTGATGTAAATCAGGCACCATCAACCTCTTTAGACACAACCCGTCCAGCACTCTACAAAGAATAAGCTGTGCTGCATTGCAGTGCAGGAATGTGCCTGGGCATTTTTACCTGTCCTTATAAAAGGTCTTTGCAGAACACCTGCCACGTCCCAAAAGGAAGGGAGGGCATATATCTTTAGCTGCATGGGTGAACAATCCAGCGTAGTATTTACCTGCACGCTGCTCCTCTTTGCATGAATCAAACCTTGAACAGGCTCCAAATTTCTTGTCATATCAACTCAAATTTTGGCAGAGGCTCAACCCACATCTTATCTAGAGCAGAGCTCCTTGGCAGCAGGCACCTCCCTGTTGTGTAATTTAATGATGTTATGGCTGGCTTGCAAACAGTAAAACAGAAAGGCCGTGACGTTATCTTAATAGGATTTTGCTTGCTGAACTCAGAATGTCACTGGCACTGCTCCCCAGTGTCCAAAGAGGATGCAAACCACTTGAGTGCCAGCAGCTCTGTTGCTGGAAAACAGCATAAATTAAAATTCAGGGTTCAAGGCACTTATCAGTTACAACTGCTCACCTTCGACACAGGCCCAAATCATAGGCACACACCAAGCCGAACACACTGCTACATGTTTCAAATTCTGGGCTTTCTCGGCAGCATCATACAGCTAGCTAGCTAGCTCCTCACTCTGTTAAATCTCAAAGGTATCCTTTGTTGATACACTGGATCTAAGTTACACGCAGCTGCTGAAAGCATCAGATTGCTAATTGCATAGATATCCTATTCTCCAAGTGCCATATTTTAATGCACGTTTCAACTGCTTTGTATTCTAGCAACTTTAACATTCAGACAGCGTGCCCTAGAAGGTTGGCGTTTGATAGCTTTCCACTGTAAACCGGATTCAGCCAATTGAACTGGACCTGCCGACGCACTAGATAAGATTACACTTTCCACACATGAAAATAAAAGGTTGTAATAAATCCTCTGAAGGAATAAATCCGGGTGATTATAAAATGCGTATTTTCAATGCTTCCATTTTACCTCTTCATTAGCCGGAAGCAACAGTGGCTTGTAAATAGGTGGGAGTTCCCACTTGGCAAGTAGCCCTTTGATTTGCTCAAAGTGGCCATTTGTTTTCCTGATGCACGCTGCCCCTCTCTGTAGGGAACCACCGGAGAGGAGTTTATAATGGACGTTAATGGAGTGAGACCTTTCATCAGAGGTAGCCTTGCACTATGGAGCAAAGGGGCATTGCACAAGCTTTTCACACAAAGCACGAAAGTTGAAAGTGTGTTTCAGTGGAGTCCCGCTAATGCCCGCCAGCCACCCCTCACCAAGGGTCTACAGGCACCCTTTTCCCAATCAAGCGCCGGATGCATACGGCCCACAGTCCATAGGCTGCAGGTGGGGCGATCTTGTTTGATAGGCCTCGTAAAATCTTCTCACGGGGAAAGGCCAGCTCCAAGACATCTTGTGAGGCCTGTGTCAGCAGCAATCCCCTCCGGAAGCCTTTATGATGTCCGTAGACGGTAGATATGGGTGTGTTACACCTGGGTGGGGGGACAGGAGAAGGGGTGAGCAGTGGAGGGGGATGGGAGGGGTGAGAAGAAAGCTTTTTTCTACTTCCAAAGCTTGAAGCACTTCACCTCTAGAACATTTTAGGCATTTCACATGGATAAAGAATCTGCCTTCCCTGTCCTTCTTGGTGCCCCCTAGTCTCCTGTCCTTTCTCCCTTGCCTCTTTTCCACACCACCTGCTTCTTCTCTATGTGCCCAGTGCCTTCACACTCTACAGTGCACTCCCTCCTCCTGCCTCTGCTGCAGCCCTCAAACCAAAACCACTGAGCACAACTCCGTGTGCACCCCCATCTCCTCCTCTGACTTTGTCACCCTGGTTTCCTATCCTCCTCTCCATGTCCCTCCATACATACTGCCCCTCGCCCCGGACTCTACCTCTCAGCACCGACCCCTTGGTTTCCTCATCCATCACCCTGCACCTCCGGCTCAGCACTTCCCGGATTCAGTCGCACGTCAGTTGTTGTGTATGTTTGTGAGACGAGCTCTGGGTAAGTGTGGTCTGGGCTGTAGCTGCAGGTCCCTCGAAAATTCCTTGTAGCAATACAGTCTTTTGTAAGTGAGATGGTCAACATCCTACTCCTCCTTGTTTCCTGGCCTAGCTCACTGATCTCAAAATATTCAGGCCTCAAACACAATATAAACATGTTTCACTCATGGACATGGATTTTAGTGAAAGCAGGACGGGTCAGTATTCAAGCTGATGCTTCTCATTAATAACAGAGCACAGTGGGAACATCTTACATAGGCAAGAGAATTCCCCATCCACAGAAAAAAAATCACTGTAACCAGCATTACCATCTCTACAGTGCACTGCCTTGAATCAGTTCTGGACTTTCCTTTTCTTTCACTGGAAATTGAGTCTTTCACTAGATAAGAAGTAATTATAGAAGAGTTCCTCTATAATTACAGTCTGATGAGAGTCACGCAACACAGAGTGCTACCAAATAGTGACCTTGAAGAGAAACCTGAGTTACAGGAGAATCTGCCTATGCTAATTAGGACCTGCAGAGATTCAAACTCAGGCATTGTGCACAGAAGGCAACATCATCTCAGCACACAGTAACTGAAGACAGTGATAATGCCGATGTTTTCTAGTGGGACATATGTCATAAATGCACCAGCTGTGCCCTCCACAATCACTGACACAACATGAAAAAAAGCAGCAAGATAATTTAAAATTTGAAAAAAATGATTCTTCACAACATAGTCTCACTTCCACAATCAGTATTGTACTGTGCTGGCTAACCAGGCTTGAGGTGTTTCCTCACATTACATGTGTAAGTAAGTTATTTTGAACCAAGTAATCATTAAGCAATCCTGCCTTTTTTAAAGTGTCTAATAGAGAGACAAAAATTAGGACACGTGCTATAGTTATTTTACTAACACTCTCACAACTTATTCTTTTTTTAAAACATTAGACCACGGGGAAAAAAAACTATTTGTAACAGAGCAAAAAATGTAGCTCAGACCCTTTGTACCTACTGTACATGGTATGGCTGTACAATACTGGCCACAGAGCTGTCTCTATGCACTGTATCACACAGAAAACTAATTAACCATATGCCACTGCAGAAAAGAGTTGCATTTGGCCCATAATACCACCCTGAGGAGCTATAAGAAGTCTTCAGTACTGGGAGCTCACTAGCCAATGGCTGCTTCTAGTTCAGTGGCCGCTCTGCACGCTCAGCTCGATTTCTACACCTGCAGAGCAATGTTTGCCCACAAGGCCTAGTTTTAGAGCTCAGCATTTTATTTCAATGACTTTCTCCCTGTCACCCACCTCCTCTTGCCACATCCACCACCAAGCTCTCGAGCTGGGCAGGAGAGCAGGCAGAGTCTATGCAAAGCCTCGTTTACCACGTTGCTCCACACCTCAATCCTTTCCGAAGAGCTTCCGTGCATTCGGTCCCTCTGGAGACATTCTCCAACTCCTCGAAAGGGCATTAACTAATCTGAAGATTCCCAAAGTCAAGAGTGACTGCAGACCAGCGTGCTACTAATACATGAATCCCTTCCTGTAACCCCTAGCCACCAGCTAATAACCCCTCCCAGGCCTAGCTATACAGACAGCCCAACATAAGCCCAGACCAAGGAGGTACTAGCCTCCCATTTCCCTTCGCACAGATAGCCAGCTCGATGGGTCTTCATTCCCAGCATCTACTAGAGGGCCGAAGGAGTGGAAAGCCAACCTCCCCCTGTGAAAGGGGCAGGCTGGACCGGTGAGCTCTGCCTGAAAGTGCCATCTGTAGAAAGGGAGGACGGAGTGCATGGCTCATTCCATCACCAGCCTCTCGCCAAGGATGCCAGCTGTGGCTGTGGTTTTGGGATGCAGGCTCCTGCCCTCTACAAAGTGGTCTGAGACCATTAACTCATTTGCAGAAACCAGCTATCAGATAGCACCTTTTAATCCCTATCTACCTGGGCCAGATTTCAGCTGATGTCCTAGTGGTAAAAGGTTCGCTAGCATATTACCAGTCTTCTAGGCAATCAGGTTTCACACAGATACATTCATAATTAAACATTCCCCATTAAGTTCCATGTTTTTGTGCAATCATTATCTTTTCTGTGAGCACTGAGTCCTGCAGCATCCTGCAGAAGGCAAGCAGGAGGCAATTTAGACACAGTACAATTTTCTTCTTGCTGGAGAAAGGCAGATTTCTGCTCCGTAGGGAGAGAACATAGGGCAAACCCCCCCCAAACCCAGACTAATCTACACATCTGTTTTTGCCATGTTAACTCTTCATAAAGGACTGGGAATAACACAATCAATTTACTTTTCATTTTGGAAGGCTATAAATTTAAAAGCAAAGGGGCAAAAGCAAGACTGACTCGCAGCGTTTTCACTTAAAAACAAACCCTGCACTTACAGCAATTGCACTATGTTTGAAACACAAAACGTTTTCCAGTGATGCTGATCTTTAAAAGTTACTGCACTGATTCACGCCAGATGATCTTGCAAGACCACACAACCAAGACTGAGAAAGGTCAATCATCTTTGCAATTATGTTATGGACAAAAAACTTCTTGATCTACATTAACACCATAAATGAGAAGTGTAACGTTATTCCAGAAATGCCAACAGCTCCACGCTCCATCGTGCCGTCTTTCTTGTTCGCAGTCTTCAGAAAATAATAAATGAGGCGAGATGTCAGCACATCTTCCCACTTCCCGTGCGCCGTTCATTAGAGAGAGATTTCTGAGGTGCACTTGCAATGCCTGTTTTGATTCCGCGCTGGGGGCAGGCAGCCAGTCTCTCTGAGAACCTGGCAGAGAATCAATTAACATCCTGCCACTGTTTGCTTTTCAGAAGCCTTACTGAGAAGTTGAGGTGGACAGAAAGGATATGCTGCAGGTGGTGGCCCCGCAGGTCAACGTGTAAACCGACCTTTACAATCTGAGCTATGTCACAAGCATGAGCTTGACAAGTCTCATTCCAGCCCACCTTCAAGAATACACAGCTCAGGTCATGTTCCACCCACTTCCCAACCCCATTCTGCCAGTGACCCCAGCCTCAATGCCCGCTCAGCTCCCTTCCCCATTCTTGAGGATTTTTTCCTTGTCTACCAACCAGAATGCCCTCCTGATCCCAATTCACCAAGTCGCCACCTGGTCCTCGCTCAAATCCATCCCAAGGACTCACCTTCTCTTGCCTTGCACACAGTCAGTTAAATGCAGGCACTTCAAGTTACTTCCTCTTGCACTAACTGTCTGCCTACCCACAACATGCCTGGCTCAAGCCAGTGCGAGCAGCCCCTCCCTTTCACTCGCACTAAATTCACTCACAACACTGATGAGAAAAACTTCAAATAAGCAAATCCGCAGTCTGATTTTTCTGAATGGGTCTCAGATCACAAGGGATGAGAATTGTTTGAGAGCTGCATTAAACCCTTAGGGGGTAACGCTCCAGGCCACTAACTCCAGGCAAGGATCAATCTGTGACCCAAGAACCTCTTCCTGCCAACTGGAAAGGGGGTGCAGACGGGTTACAGGGCTCTCTTGGGTCTGGCATGTACGCTCTGCCGCACCATAGAGTTCCACCTGAAGTCTCAAATAAAAGCTGGTGTCACACTGGCCATCAATATCATTGCAAAATGCCAAGTATAGAAGTTGTGCAAGAAATGCTGTATCTACACTGAAAATCCTGTTCTTAAAGTCTGTGTCTAGAGACCAGTCACCAGCAACGATGAAAAACAAGTTCTCTCTCAGACACATAATGTTTATGTTGTAGCACAAGGGGACCCTGCAGGGTCTGAAAAATGGCTGGGAATCATTGGAGAGATGCATTAAAAGCTCCGTGGCCTCATAACACCAGCAAGGACCAATGCGCTCTGGGATTTCCTCACGCTGCACAATGCGGATTGTGCTAGCAGGGGAATTTCAGGGATACAGTGAATAATCTGAGCCATGGCCCATGTTCTACAGGTCAATCCTCCTTAACAGAATAAAGGACAACTACAGTAAGTGGAGTTTCTTACACATTTCCTCCCTCTTTCCAGACTTCCAACTCCCGTCCCATAACCACACTTCGTTCTCTTGCTCCACCAACCAGTGAGCCGGGGACTAGCTCCCTCTCTAGCTGACTCCCAGGCTGTCTGTTGCACCCCAATAGCAGAGGGGACGATCTGGCCTAATGCAACAGCCACATGCAACACATCACAAACGACGCCCAGCAAACAATATTCTTTAAAAATGCCTAAAGATTTTCCAACAGTGATGGGTTTGCAGCTCCCACTGGCTTTCGTAATCAGAAATATCATGCAAGTGTCAGGCTGGGAAGGTATTTCAGTTACAAAACATTACCTCAAAGAGCACTAGCCACACAGGTGCTTGCAAGCGTCCAAAACTACTGCATCTGAATAGAGCTGCTACTGGGAGCTTTGCAACTCTACCCAGTTGCAGCTGAGCAGACGAATGCAGGATCTCCTCTCATGGAGATCATGTATAGTCTCCTTTTCATTCTAAACGAGCTCTG